TTTGGACCCGTTTCCCGCAGGGAGGCTCGGGGTGACTGTGGCTGTGCAGATGTTCAGCCCCTTCCAGCTGTTCCAAACCTCATCCTGAGGGATCCTTCCTTATTCCCTGCAGCTGAACCACGGCCCCCTGGACGGCCCAGCCCCTGGGAAGGGGTGAGGGGGGCTCTGTCCACCCCCAAGGGGCCAGGACCTGGGGGTCACTGGGGCCAGCGGGGGTGGCAGTGCCAGGTCATCATGTGTGGGAGGATGGGGACAGTGGGTGTTCCCCGCAGGGGCCCTTTGGGAAGGGGAAGGGGAAGGGCAGCTCAGATGGTTTCCCCGAAAGGGTGGCATTGCAGTGGGGACGGGACAGTGTCACAACACCCTGTGCCCAGAAGCTGAGCCCGAGGTTTGTCCCCAGCCAGGGTGGGGGAGGGCATCTCCTGCTTCCCTTCCCGGCTGTGAGACCTCATGGGGGGCCAGGGCTGCACGTTGGCATCTCCTGGGCACAGCTCAGGGAAGGGGCACATCAGGGCCAAAACCACCCCTGGACCAGGGGAGGGACCACCCCATCACCCTGAAGGACCCCAGTGCCTCCTGCTCTCCCTGGGCTGCTCCACTGCCACACCCCCATGGGAAGCTGCCCTTGCCAGGCACCCAAATGATGACATTGGCCTTCAGTGAGTGTCCCCAGAGCCCTCATCCCCATCCTCATCCTCAGCTGGTGGTGTTGGCTGCCCCGGCTTGAGCAGAACTGGGAAGAAGACAAGGTGCCTCCATCCTTGTGTCCCTCCTGCCCCTCATGGCCCTTAGAGGAGCAACACGATGTCCCCAATGACAGTGACAAAGGCATCCCGGGGCTGGCTGGGAGAGGAGACAGTGGCTTCTCACACCGAGGCCTTTTCTAAGATCCTTAGAAAAAAAAAAGCACCTCAGAAAAAGAAAAATAAATTATGGGAAAAGATCACAGGTTTATAATTGGGATGTGCAAATATCAATTTAAGCAGATCTTAAATCAATATGAACCAGAACGTTTCCTTTCACCCCTAATCGTTCTCTTTCTTCTTTTTTCTTCTTTTTTTTTTTTTCCCCAACCAGGTGAGTTTTAATAAGCTAAAATAAACCAGCTCCTATTTCAGCACAGTCCCAGTGTGAGGAATATCAATTAACGAGAGACATCCTTGGTCGTTTGAGTTCACCACAACAGCGCAGGAGCTGCAGCTCGATGGGAATGGGAAGAAAATTACAACCTTTTCGGGGAAACCATTAAGTAAAAATCAGAATTTGTCCATAAGTACCACTGGGGGAGGGGAGCAGCTCAGCTAATGTGTTCTATTTTGAGCCGTGAAGTGAATTTTCAGTGCAAAATCGCTGCTTTCCATCGCTCTCCCCACGGCCTCACGTCCCCGGAGTTGGGACCCGGAAAGCTTCTGGGACAGAGGGTCTGGCTCAGCCCCACCCCTGGAATCCCCCCACTTTTCACACTTTTCCAGCTCAGTGAGGCACAGAGTGAGGATCATCATGGAATCACAGAACCCTGGAATGGTTTGGGTTGGAAGGGACCTTAAAGCTCATCCCATCCCACCCCTGCCATGGGCAGGGACACCTTCCACCAGCCCAGGTTGCTCCAAGCCCCGTCCAACCTGGCCTTGGACACTTCCAGGGATCCAGGGGCAGCCACAGCTTCTCTGGGAAACCTGTGCCAGGGCCTCCCCACCCTCACAGCCAAGAATTCCTTCCAAAAATCCTCTCTAACTCTGCTCTCTGGCAGTGGAAACCCATTCCCTGTGTCCTGTCCCTCCATCCCTTGTCCCTAGTCCCTCTCCAGCTCTCCTGGAGCCCCTTTAGGCCCTGCAAGGGGCTCTCAGCTCTCCCTGATCCTTCTCTTCTCCATTGGAACCCCCCCAGCTCTCCCAGCCTGGCTCCAGAGCAGAGGGGCTCCAGCCCTGGGAGCAGCTCCGTGGCCTCTGGGCAGGATGGGAGGAAGGGCAGTGCCTGTCCTGTCCCCGGGGGCCTCACAGATCCGAGGGTTTCCAGGTGCTGCTCCCTGTGCTCTGCAGTCTCCCGGGACTGATGTGACTGTGTGACACCAGCAGCACTGGGCACGTTCCTCCACTAAATAGCTGTCACCTTGGAAGCACTTGGCAGAGGGAACTGCCAGGGAGAGCACTTTGCAGGAGAAATAAGGACTGGTTTCACCACTAATATTTCCAGGGTTGCTCATTGCCATTAATTTTCTCTGCTCTCCAGCAGACGAGGCCTCAGGAGCCCCCCCTGCTCCGTGTGCTTTGGAGAACTGTGCGCTCACGTCCTCCCAGAGACTGGGCCGGGCTCTGCCTGCCCGGCTGCATCCTGGGGGGGCTTTGCACCCCGGGGTGCACCCAGTGGGTGCCCCGATGGGAACCCCAGTGATGCTCCCGTGGGTGACTCAGTGTGCACCCTGCTGTGATGGGAACCCCACTGGGCACCCTATGGACATCCCAATGGACATTCAACTGCACCCTGATTTGCACCCCAGCGGGCACTCCAAGTGCACCCACGTGCCCCGCGCAGCGCAGGGACTCTGCAGAAAGCTGCTGCCTCGGCAGAGTGAAAGCAAAGGAAAGGCCGAAAGGGGGCAAAGTGAGGACATCAGGAGGGGGGATGGCGGAGGAGGCGGGCAGGGCGCGGTGGCTCCGGCTCCTCTCCGGGTTCCGCTCCGGGTTTCTCGGCGCTCCCGCCGCGCCGCGCGGGCCCCACGTG